AAGTTAATTAAACGGTTAACTTTATATTGTACAAATACAAGACTAACAAATTAGTGTACATATCACCAATGTTACACACTTATGATTTATAAAATCACTTGGGTAACTATCTATGTTACTGAATTAAGAAATACCTTTGTTTCTATCAGTCTATCTGTTTCTGGTTCCTGGTCTTTCTGCCATTTCTCTTTAGCTGACATCATCTCGACACGATGAGAATCAGCCAATGACTGTTTGAGTTTTTCCAATGCTTCATCTTTCTCTACCAACATTGCCTCTTTGAGCTACAAGGGTAAACATAACAATCAAATCAGTCAGAGCTGAACTGTAATGTCATGATAAGTTCAATCATTCACAACTGTTGACCCTTTTCATGGATAACATAAATATATTGTTCATGATGTCAAACGCATCTTTCTCGTGTATAATTTCAACTAAGTTGCAGTTAAATGAAAGCACCTACAGATGTTTGTTAACACTGGCTCCGCAAAGTTGCATTGGCCAGTTGCTCTATCTTCCTAAGAGAAGACTAGGTGCACGTGAGGATAATTTCAGTTTTCAAAGAAAGAAAAATAAACAATTGAATGAATACCTTAGTTAGTTGGTCTTCACTCAATTTGACCTCCTCACTGTGTTTCCCGTCCAATCTGTTCTTTTCTTCACATACATTAATATACAACTGTTTGATATCATCCACAGTTTTCAGCGCCTCATTGAGTTCAGATCTATGATGAACAAAACAAGATAAGTTCATTTCCATATATGTTAATCCGAAGGTCAGATGTCATCATAGATGAATAAATCTTATTAGCATAATTTATGGAAAATCACCATCACATGTCACGGTATGAAAGTAATGGCTTACTTGAGTTGCATAAGTTGCTGTTGATGAGATTCTTCTACCAGCCTCCTCTCGTTCTCAAATTCTTCATGCAAATCAGATCTCATTTTACGAGAGGAATCTTCATGTAGCTGAAGACATGCATTCTGGCATCTGAGAGAAAATAGTAAAAATTTATAATGCATTCGATTTGAGAATGAAAAACTGTGAATAATTACAGCCAGAAATGGAAATCCGTAAAGATTCTCACCTTTCGAGAGCCACCCTCCTATCATCGTCATACTCTGATACCATCTCTGCCATCTGTTTCTTTAACTCAAGATTCAATTCGTTTAACTGCTCTTCACTGCTCACTGTCTCTTCCAGTCGATGCGTCACTTCCTGCACAGAAACACATGCACATCTATGTTTCACTCCATTTATAAATCAACAATTATAGAAAA